CTGACTTCCAGAAGGCCTCCAGCGGAGTGACTCAGGGAACAAAGGTAAATGAAAATGACTAAAGTGCAAACCCTCGGCGAACTGCGCATGCGCGGTACTGCTAATTGATGGGCAGGGGGCTATAAGGCGTTTACTCGTTGTCTCCCGCTGGTAGCTCGCGGAGAGTCTGAGACAGGCTAGCTACAGCAGTAGATAGTATGCGGGAGTAAACAATCCATTGTTTGTTGAGCGCTGAACCAGAAAAAAGTAGCAGACGGACAGACGGACAGACAGACCAAGTACTGTAACCCTCGCTGTGCATGTGCGCCGAGGGTTAACAATCCTTTATTCATTGGCTATGAATCATATCCGTGAATATTGCTCTGTGTTTCCACCCTCTTTTGTCAGACCCAGCCTGCTCCCCTAGCAACAGCTGTACCCCATGCCATACCACCTGTGGTTAAACCAGGAAAGGTAGGCAACATTAACATTGATAACTGTTGTGGTAGAGTATCATCAGACCTTTAGAAATGCCTAGAAATTTACTGATTGTGTTGGTGTCTGGTTGTATGGCGTATTCATACACTATACACTATGGGATACCAGTGCACATACATACACTATGGGAGAGAATGAATACCAGTGCACAACTTGGCACATGACACAAAATGGTTCCATCGCCATTATGTGCAGTGGTGTTCTCTGCCTTCTACGGTACCATAATTATTAACCCTCGACGTGCATGCGCAGCGAGGGTTACAGTAGTTGGTTTGTCTGTCTGTCTGTGTGTGTGTGTTTGTTGGGGGTGATCGAGGAGAAAGGGAGGGAAAGGGGGAGAAAGGAAAGTGACCAAACACAATGAGACCAGAGGCTGGGAGACTTTTGTCAACTTCACTACACGCGGCAGCTCAGTGGTCAAAATTACATGTATTTTTAGAAATCTAAAATACATGTAATTTTGACCACTGAGCTGCCACTTCTGCTTCGGTGTTTTGCGCTTGTGCAGCCCTAGCCTATCACATTGTAATTACACAGTCTCACTCGTACAAACACAAGAGCAGGACATGGATGCCCAGCCTTGAGAACTGGGGACGGTGGGTTAAAGATCTTTGATGGCTAGCCAACTCTCCCCACATATCCAATGTCACAGACTCTCGTGCAAAATCTACAGCTTACAGTACTGTATTGAAGTAGTTACAATCACATACCTTAGGCTCTCTGGGGTCATGCAATCCTATGGTACTACTAATGCACAGTGGGGTATTTATAGGGAGTTGTGATGTCATAGGTATGGGAATTTCCTAAGGGGGAAGTGGGCTTGTTACTCTAGGGTCCTGGGTGATGTGTATTTTACTCTAGTGATACTCACAAGTGTAAAGATGGTGTGTGTGTTTGGTATGGGTTAAGAAGAGAAAGGAGGGGGAGAGAATTGTGGGGAACGAGGTGTAGTGACAGAGACTGGGGGGGGGGGACTTGTCGGCGTCATCAAAGCGCCGGGCCACCAGACGTACACTCAGGCTGTGCATGGAGTTACAAACCACAGTGTGCTTCCACATAATTATTATTTGGTACACGTGCTACACTACCCCTATCCCCACCCCTAACAGCTAGCAAACCCTGTCTCCTTTGTCTGTCGTTTATCTAATGCACCAGTCATCAGGGGAGCTCCACAGCAGATCATCGTGTAGGTCACAGGTTTCGGTCCCTTTAATCTCCCGACCTGTGCCTCACTACCACTGGGGCGGGACCACTCCCACGTAATGGAGTCTGGTATAGACACAGTATTGTCAGTTTGTCTTGCTAAGCTCTTAGTTTGTCATGGTATAGTTTTGTCCGTTTTTGTATGTCCTATTTTAGGTTGTGACAGTAAAAAAAAGTAGTATGCATGCGCAGGAAGTTTACCTACACCCTTATTGCCTTGTTGTGACAAGATTAAACTAGATACACATACCTGCTGGCATCTTTTTCAGCCACAGCGTGGAGTAGTGGTAATCTAATTATTGCGCGGGTGGCTGAGCATGCGCATGGTTTTTTACTACAATAATGGTGATGCAAAGGGGATTTTTGACTCTGTGTGTGTGTGTGTGTGTGTGTGTTTTCGACGCTTATTCTGGCACTACAGGCTACGAGGTGGCCAATGTGCGATACCAACGGCTCCAGAACTACGCGAACTTGATACTTAATTAGGCGATTTTCCTGAAACGACTGCATTCGAGAGATATGCCGTGAAAACAAGCGAAAAAGCCAATATGCATAATGACGCTGGCTTACCTCAAACTGATCGGCCTACTCCGCGTACCTTGGAGGCACAAGAAGTTACAACAGACGGCGTGTATCGACTCCCGCATGCAATCTACTACTGTAGCTAGCCCGTGTCAGACTCTCCGCAAGCTACTAGGGCTAGTAACTGCATAGCCTAGCCCCCAGCCCATCAATTTAGGGTTTGCACTTTAGTGCCTTTGATTTACTCGTTATTCATTATGTAATCTTACCGGGTCATTCGTATAAAAGGAGTATGCACGTGGAAAATAATCAGATTTAAGACTCAGCCAGAGTCACTGAGAGAGATGAGTGTTGCCACGTGCAAGTCTGGTCGTGCCACACATAAGAGACAGAGAGAAGTCGCGCACTTGTTTTCTCTCCCATAGAGAATGTATGGAGGGTGAATTGTGAGCCTGTAAACTAGCTGCCTAGCCTGTAATCGATGATTATTATTTACGCCCAATCAATTTGCATGACACATGTGCAAACTGTACACATGTATGCAGCCATAGTGTTACATTCTGAGGTCCAGATTTGATGATTATGATGTCATTACATGTCATGTGATCTCCCCTCAGCTCACTGTGCAGTGTCACCGTAAGAAGACAGCACCACGTGGAATGGAGAGAGGATCTGCAACAACTGATGGTCGATTTGCATACTTCACCTCACGTTACTCCAACTCAGTCTACCAATATGAAAGTAGTCCAGAGAAATGGGAGGAACTTCCTTCATGTCCATGTAGCAACTCTGGACTAGTCATCATTGACAGGGAACTAACTTCTGTGGGAGGAGAGGTTGGATTTCGTTTTACTAACAAACTATACACACTACGACAGAGGAAATGGGTTGAGAAATACCCTCCAATGAACACTGCACGTTCCTCTCCTGCTGTAGTTACTACATCTGATGGCGAATACCTCATTGTGATTGGGGGGTTTGTTGTTGATGTTGGTTGGACTGCTACAATTGAACTATTTCAAGTGAGGAGCAGAAGATGGTACCAACTAACAGACTTACCACAACCTCTCCCCCACCCTTCAGCCACAATATGTGGTGATCCGTTGAATGTGGTAGGACGTGATGCTAATGGCTACTCGTGTTCTCTTGCAGCCCTACCATCCAGTGATCAACCAATCACATCACCTCTCACCCTATCCTGGAAACCTCTCCCTCCTCTACCAGTGAAATTCTCAACAGCTGCCACTCTCTGTGGACAGCTAGTACTCATTGGTGGCAGGCGAGGTGGGACACCAGTCAACTCCATTCACCAGCTAGTGGATGGACAGTGGGTGGATATTGGCTCTATGACTAGTGGTAGGAACATGTGTTTAGTAGCCAGTACATCACCTGACAAGATCATCATAGTGGGTGGAGATATAGTTGAAGAATGTGTTGTTGTATAGTTTCATGCAATTTTTGTGTCCATTATCTCATAATTGGTGAGCGGAAGCGAGCTAACCTAGTGGTCCGAACGGTGCGATTTTTCTACATATAATATATATAATATATATATATAATTATGTCACCGTACGTCGTCCAACTGCGCATGCTCCAGCATTACGCGCTTCTTTTTATCCGAAAGGGATTTCAACATTTTCATAATGCTGCCTGAATCGAGCGGAATCAGGGGAAACGCAACACCTCCGAAGCTATCGAGTATTGCTGCACAGTCCAGCGAGAGATTTTTCTACATTGCCACTTGTTCCCTATTCCTGCAAGACAAATCAGATTGCCGGATTATGCCCGATTCGCGCTGTCGTCTGACTGTTTTTTACTCGACTCGAATTATCTACTGCGCTCAGGTCGTTTCAGCCTACTTGGTCCTGTGCAATGTCTCTCACTGTTTTGTGCACACACAAGAGTAACTCATACGATTAGACCCCAATTGTAAGCGCGCTTCCGCTCGCCAAAAATGCCATGCATTCGCCTACTAGTACACAACATTTCAACTCTCAAAACAGTTGGAGACATTGTGTGTGTCACTGTTTTTTGTACAAGAATGATGTAATGATGATGTAATGTCTATTTCGTTTTGGCCATGAGATCGTTCATGTCAAGCGAGACTGCAATTCTCTTGCGGTTCACAGCAGGTGCTGCAAAACAGATCCTGTCGGTGGAAAATGACTTACAATGATATTAATTTTTCATGTGTATTAACAGACACTGTACATATGTACCATAATGTTCTAGCTACATACAGTGATACTAAACATGTGTGAAAACAGCCATAGGTGTTGGTTGAAGGTATTTACTTTTCGCTCTAATAGATGTTCTGTTCTCAGTTTTCTCATATTATTATTTCAAGGACGAAATGAACCATTTTTGACACCTCTTTTTTCATTGGGCAGTCTTACTTCACATGTCAGAGATCCTCACACAATATATACTATAATTTGAGGCCATAACTCACTTTTTGAATTGCTCCAGTTCATCATCATAGTCATCAGACAAATCCTCTGATGGCAGATCTGCAAAGGAGTGAGGAAAGGGTTAAAATGATTACTACACCATAGGAGATCTCTTTACCAAAGATAATGAATCAAGCAGGCTAATAACCACTAATTACGTTCTTCTCCTCAGACTTTCTGCCTTTCAGCATGTCTAGGAAACTGCCCTTGTCAATGGTTGACAGAACTGCAGCATTATAATATACACCGTGAGAGAGAGTCATTTAGAGTCAATGGTTGACAGAACTGCAGCATTATCAGAGAGTCGGTAGACTCTCTATATAGGGATGACACGGGTGAAATCTCACGTGATCCGCGTACAAAACGACTAAAAACTCGGTGAGAATCACTCCCTAGGCCTTCAAAACATACTAGCAATAGTCTACGGGCCCATATATACCTATACATGTCCCCCAAGAGCTCATACGCACCTTCAGTCGTCCACGGGAGAATTCGCTCATACGCGATTTCACGATTTTCGTGTCATCATATTCTTCATCTACCAGTACCAGTTCAAGCACTGATTTTTTCACTGAAGGTCTCCAATTTTGCCGGAGGTGTGCACGGACATCAAGCGATCGTTTCTTTCTTGCCGCTAGTCACTACGGTAGATCATGGAGCTCTTCCATGGTCGACCTGAACAACGCCATTTGCTGCTTACTCAGCATCAGTGATCCGCGCGCATGCGCCAGGCAGGGGCGTTGTCCAATGTGCTTGCGAGCGTATTCTACCGGGCGAGTTGGCAGACCTGCAGAGGAACTGTCAGCCTCCAGTACCTTCTGTAAGTAAGTGTGCACATTTCCAACTGGCTATCTTGCTGTTGATTTGCACGAAGAGCAATTTGCCAGAGTCTGCGCGGTGTTACGCGAGCCTTGCGGGGCACTCAGTCAAATGGGCCTTCATTGTTTGTCCCCCCCAGGTTGTAGCCTGATTACCAAAGCCTGCCAATGAAACCACAACCATGTGCAATAATCTAATTACATCCTTGTTGAAGACAATACGGTATCTAGCAGCCCCATTAGCTACTACTTTCAACAGTTACTATGGTAGCCTATCTACAAATGAACATCAGAGTGACTGTAACAATAAATGCAGTGTTGCCATAAGCTGTTAAAAATAGTGGAAACAAGTGGAAAAATCATTTCTTCAAAATGAAAGGGGGATATAGGGATGGCTTGAAGCACCAAAAAGGAAGAAACAAGGGGTCATTACACAGCAAAGTTGCACAAAGCTACATGACACCATCCCTATATCTTTGTTTGATATTTTTTGATATTAAACTTTTGCTTATAAACAGCCCATCAATTTAGGGTTTGCACTTTAGTGCCTTTGTGATCATTGCTTCATGTGACACCTTCTTAGTACAATTGTGCTACATATATGCATACTTACTATTATAAAATTGGACACCAAGCCTATAAAACATATGATCGGCATGTGAAGTGAGCATGCACCTATTAGCCTTAATCTCGCAAGCCCAGCTAGTCCCAGTCAACTGACAGCACATGTCCATATTGAATGCTTTACCTACTTCAGAATAAACATCAAACTGCTTCAATTTCGCACTCACTCTAGCTTGTCAACAATTCTTCAACGCTGTATATGATAAACTAATCCTACAGCAAAAGTTGCAATTCTGAACTAAGCCCACCGCACACCTACACAGCTGTAATTATTATGATCAAAACACAGGATAATGGTCCAATTAAGACAATATCTACAACAACAGTGTGTATAAATAATATACGGTACAGTGGGTCTGAGCCCGCCATTGTGCATAAGGAAGTGGCGTATTTTAAATACACACCCACAATATATGCATTCCTTCATCTTTGAAACGCCCGTCGTATAATGAACCTTGCACCTGCAGAAGATTTGCTATTGGTTAGAACGCTTGCTATCAGGAAGACCTAAAGCACACGAGTAACGGCATATAAATGGTGTGAATAACCAGTCTTTGTTAGAATAGACATGAACATAATGAGCACTTGACTACTTCGAGAAGGAATTTGAAAAAAATTATAAATGCACTTGCGGAACTTCGAGAATGAATAAAAAAAGGATTTTCACTTCGAAAAAAAAAAGAAAAACAAAAAAAGCCACTCCACCGAGCATGTGGCCAACATACCCAGTGAAGCGGGGGCACTCAGTATTGTCAAACAGAGAGTGGGTAAGGGGAGGAACCAGAGCTGTTCCCAGCCAGTGCTCTGGACCACCTACCAGCTTCCAGCCCGGGATCGATCTCTCGACCACCGGAACCTTTATACTGGTAGTCCCCACTTCTACTGATTGCGCCACATGAGTGACCCGAGAGGAGTAGTTGAAATTTTGCCTTTATACCCACCAGTCAGTGAGGCTGGAAAAAAAAAGTAGTAGTTGACAGGCTTGAACCCAGGTAGCAGGAAAACCATGTTCCTCTTGCAAGAGTTTTAGCCACTAGACCATCAACTCTTGGTGTGCGTGATATGTAGCATCCCTACCAGGCTCGAATGCACTGGCAACAAACGCCACAATTTATAGTCTTCTAAAAACAACATACATACTGAACCTTGGAACTAATATTTGCTATTGGTTAGAAAGCTTGCTATTAGGAAGAA